ATTATAAAGGGTTGCCTGTAACCTTCATAGAAAGCTATTGAATGAAACTACAAGTAAATTATGATTTTGACATTAGGCACTCTAGAACATGTTTATGGTGGCTGACTTAATCTTTGTAATCCATGTTGTCAATAAACCTCTTTTAACAAGCAAAAACTGGATCAATTTTATGAGTGTACTTTTTAACTAGGTCAAATTCACTATTAGTTGACTCAGGGAGAGCATTTTTTAAGAGAAGAGGCATCCACAGAGAAGCTTCTAATTTATCCTTTGGCTGAAATTGAGGTAACTGGGGGGGGTAACTGATATATTTCTAAGAGATGGAATATAATACACCTGCAGTGAATAGTCTACAGTGTTGGTAATGAACACTCAGTATTTGACAAGGACAAGTTACATCATTAAAAGTTTTTAACCTTCCTCTTGTGTTTATTACTTAATATTTTTGAAAGTGCTGCTTGTTGACTTCATTGACATTTTAATCATAATAGCCAAAGAAAGCATTCTGCTACAGACTATTTCTTCACATGTATTTGTTTTTTTTTAATATTCTTTTTGTTTTTAATAATTAATGTACAAATCCAGAAAAGATGAATTGCGTTTAAAAAGCCAAATATACTACACAACTCAATAGCAAATTGAAGAGTTAGACTGAAATATAATAAGCCTTGTTAATTCCAAAAGTATGAGTCAAAATGTAATCCATTCTTTCTAGCTATAAATAATATTTTAATATTTAGTTTTTAACATTGGAGATATGATATATGTAAAAGAAGGGAATTATCAGCTCTACTGGGCTAGGCATTTTATATGCATTTTCTTTTTTGAAGTGAGTTTGAAGTCGTTGAATCTACAGTTTTTACTGTGAATTTGGAGGGCAAATTGCTAGTTCCTTTCTAAGATGCTCATATATTCCAAATGAATATAAAGCATGCCAGTGCATTTCTTCTATTTGGTCTTTGTTAAAGGGATGTTTAACATCCCTAAGAAGCTTTGAGGATGCTCTTCAGTTTTTCTCTATTTTGTATCCTACTCAAAAATCTTTTTATTATGGCCATCTTCGAGTTAGAGAAGAAAAAGCCAGATTTCTAATTTTAATTGGTCAATGGGAAAATCCCTGCTGTGACAAATCTCACCTTCACTATTGAACAGTTTTTGCTTTTCTGTGATTCTTCTTCTCACATTTGGAATGCAAGATGCTTTACTAGGATACAGCATAAGAAAGAGACTGAGCAGGGTACTGATTTAACTTGTATTAAGTTTTCTAGATATCATCTTGGGAATAGACTCAGACTCTTAAAATATGGGTAGGAAATAATATGTGTACATAAAACATGTCTATCTCCCCAATTTTTTATCCAAAATAATTACAAAACTAGGAAAGAAAAAGGATAGAGAGCTCTGAGTTTGTAGAATAAAGAGATCTAGAAGCCTCTTACATGAAGTAAAATGATATCACAAATTGCCAACATAATTCATCTCAACTGTCAAGTAGAAGCTGAAATTCAATTTTACGTGCAACAGAGAGGCTGGTTCTTTTTAAATGAAGGTATTTTAAAATTTAAATCAGTCAAAGGAGCTACCACCAATATAAACTTAGAATAAGTAAAAGTTGTATCTTTCGTTATTTGCCCCTTTTATCTTTTTTAGAAGAACATTTTCCACTCATATTTTATTGTCAGCTATGTAACATAGAACAATATAGTTTTCCTCTTTTTAGTAAGTCTTGAGCATGAATATCTACTATTTCTAATAGTTTAACATGAAGTTAAATATAATACTTTGTAGCTAATTAAAAATTCTTAGATTTTGGTAACAATTTTGGTTATTGAAAAACATATTTGAACAAAACTATATATGTCAAATTTTAAAAATATAGGCTTGATCTACTTTTATTCTTGACTATAGCATTCAAAATCAATTTAATATAGGTATCATTTATTGTTATTTGCCTTTTCAGTTGAGGATCAGTTTTTTTCTGGTTTCTGTATTTTTGGTAACTATACATATATTTAAAATTTTTATTTTCCTTTGTTTCTTTTCTATCTGTAGGTATAATTTTCTTTTAAGTTTTCCAAATATTATTTTGAAGAAAATATACTTCCTAACTTTCTCTATGTAAATATGACTATAACATTATCATTAATTTATTCTCAACTGAAATATAGAGCATCACACAGATGAATGTACAGGGAGAGAAAGGCTGCTTTTTCTCCACTCATGGCTATAAAGGATTTCTGTCAGATAGTAAAAAACCTAAAGTTAGGATTTATTGGACAGGGGATGGAGGGCAATTTGTGGTTATATTCGGATTTTCACTATTTTTCTATTTAAAAATTTACCAGACATTTTATGTGGCATTTATAAAGGAAAATATCATCTTTCACTGTATGAAGTCACGAATACTATTTTACAGTGTGTTGTGGTAATCGTGGTTTGAATTTTGAATTAATGTAGAAAAACTAAGGAAATCAACATAAAGCAGTGTTATGTTCATACAGGCCTACTTAGTCAAAATATGGCATTTATCTGATGCAATATTTACATGGCACAGCAGTCAGAAGAAATTTTTTTTCCGTAAGGTTTTAATAAAGTAGTGTCCTAAGAGACAACTCTGAAACTACATACAAGCACTGTTTACTTTTAGCTTTCTTATTAACTCACTCCTTAACAGTGCTAAGCATTCTAAAGAAGGCTAGAAAACACACTTTTTTGCTCTAGCTTTCATTTAAAGTTTATAAATAACCCATTCACTGAAGTGAGTAATGTGTTCTTTAATTTATTTCAGTGTATAACTCTGGTCATGACTTTCAGGAACTTAGAAGGAAGATGTTATATAAAGCCACTAAATAACAGTACATATTAGCTGTGGAGCAAAAGAAGGAAAATGGCAAGTAGAGTTTTGTTACTAATGACTTCAAGACTTGATCTAATTAAAGATTTTAAATATATAAAATGACTATCAAAGCCCGAAGATTTATATGCAGTAAGTGCATATTCTATAGGTACCACTAAAGTTGTGTCACAGTTTGCTAACTTTAAAGTTCAGAGGCTATCATAAAAACCATGTGCAATTATATTTTCTAGAGTGATTACAGACTTTAGAAATGATAAAATGACACAGGGTCAATAGAAGTTGACACAATACAATTTTGATAATTTGTGTGTGTTGTACATCGGTTAGTTTTAGGTGACTAGTGGGAATAGGCAGTTGTGGAAATCTCAGGCATGTGTAGACAGCACTTTCATTGTAATGCTCAAAGAAGATCTGTGTTTTTATTTTGGGTGCAATGTTTTTGTTTTATGCAAAGTCCTCAAAATATACACCAGATTGTGTCATTGTGGCTAGGAAACAGCCACTGGAAATGGGGACCCTGTTGGGATAAGAATGCTCAGAGGACACCTATAAGGTAATGTGGATTTAAAAATAATAAAATTGTGTTTAAACTTATAAAAATTTTTGTTCTACAGAACATGGTTTTGAATCTAGCAGTTAACCATTGGTCTTACATGCAGGAAACTGATTTTGATTCAAAGTAGTAGTACATTGTCTACTTCACTTAGATTTTTAGAAGTCCATAAAATAAAAATTATACTGTCCTTAAATACTTTTAAGGAATCTTAGGAAAAGAAAAAAGCCAGATATTGTAGAGTCAATTAAAATTCAGCAAGGCAGCTTAATTTGGACCTGTCTAAATTCATGGATAGTCCTCTGGTTTTATAAACAGTTGTATTATTTTTATGTCACAGCCAGGCAAACCTAACCAAGTAAACCAAATGTTTCCTTTTAAAAGTTACTTAAACTATTAGTTAAGCATCATTTGCAATTAGTTAAGTGTACAAACATAACAATACATGTTCGCGCTTAGATAGCAATTATAGTACTTCTGTGTAGAGACTTGACTTTGTAAAATAATGGTATTCTTCTAAAAGAAATGTCTTTTTTAAGATGCTTCTTTCTCTATAAATAGTGTAATGGTGAGTTAACCTAATGTATGAATACACAAAAAGTAAATTCCATGTAAATCATCTTTAAAATAATGAACTGCAGAGTCAGTGTATTTCTAAATAAGATCAATTTAAATATTGCTTATCAAAATATTCTTTTGAGAACATTTTAATTCTTCATAATTCTGTTCCTATGATTGCTGGGAAGTCCGTTTACAAACTTGCACACCTGAGATAAATTGGAAATAATTTGTTGTAAAAGGGATTGTTTTGCTTTATTAAAATATTCATATCTGAATGAATACTATCTTAATATCATTTAAACACATATCTTACCTCACACACTTTTAAAATTGGAGGTAATTTCCAAGATCATTTAAAATAGTGATTTTGAAACTTTAGTACTTATACAAACTACCCAAGGGCTACTGCTAAAATTCAGAATAACTCAGGAGCTTAAGATGAGTCCTAAGGTTTTGCATTTCTAACAACTTTCCCAAAGCTCCAGACTGTAGGTCTACAGTTTGCGTTATAAGCACCTAAAACATCTTTCTAAACGCAGTGATTCCGAGCACGAACTGTTCATTATAAAGATCTTGATTGCAGCAAGATACACACTGGCTGTCTGTAACACAAGATATTTTTCTACATTACTATTTCCCGAAAGGGTCAGAAGAAGAAAACCAGTTCCATTGATAACTGGATTTTGACAGACTTTGTTTTTGTAGACTCAGACTACTTCTTTCTGTCTTTTAGGACAACTTTTCCCTGAGATGTAAACTAGGTTAAGACTTTTAGCGTCTCTAGGTTTCAGTGTTTTCTGTGAGATGAACTGTAGGGGTGAAGTGCTGAGCCTCTGGTGAGCATACAAACATATTTGTTGCATGAATAAAAGATTCATTCCTCCCACTTTTGAGTTTATGATTTTATCAGTCAGTGGTGGGGTTCTTATATTTAAAAAATAAAAGTTAAGTTTATATATTATTTGTAAGGCATAGTTGCATTCTTTATCCCTCTCCTATTTACTCTTTTATCTGTCTCATTTTTTCCAGAGCTTAAGCACTTGGAAGCATTTTGTGAAGTTTGCTGTATGCACTTAGTTACAGTCTACAGTGACCAGACAGGAGAGCAGTGAAGAGGAATGAAATAAATGGCACCAGTGATCTGAGACTGCAATATCAGTATGTACATTCAGGCTCATGGCAGCTAAAATAATTCGTTCTTTTAATAAGTTGGTTAAAATATTACCTTTATGTGTCTATACCTTCAACTTATGTTTACAAGAAATTTCTGAGTTACCTAACTCAGGAGAATAAGCTCTCAGGCTTTTCGGGGGGTGGGTGGGTGGATACATCTTCAGAATGAAGAGTGGAGAAAACAAAAGTGTTTCAAGACAAAATAATCAGCAAGGAAAGTGACACCACATGCTTGCTCCCGTCTCCTTTATATGACTGGCCAGAGGCGAGCCCTGGGTTAGGGACGTGCCGTCTCTGATATGTTGAACCCAGCAAATACAGAAGGATATAAAGAAAGTTGTTTGTGGGTTTACACAAATGAGTGTGTGTTTAAAGGAAAATTTTTAAAAAATAGTTTGCTCATGGTGGCAATTCAGCTAGTAGGAACCCATAGAAATATCAAATGACAATTTTTTTCAACTTCCTCAAGTGCATTCTCATCCTTTTGGCTGACTTGGCTTTTCTCCCAGTGCCTGGCTATTTAACTAGCTGCTAAGTAACTTTTAGTATCACCTTTGACTTTTCTCAACTTAAATTACATTTATCTTCGTATTCTCAAATAAAGGAAAGAACATTTAAGGAAGAAGATGGTCAAGCTCTGTTAAAAAAACACCAGTGCCTCTAGAGAAGCAAATGTAAGTCAGCCAGTTGTGTGCATGATTACTAAAATGTCTTTGCTATTGAAAGGAGTCCGTTAGAAAAACTGACCTGTGCTTTTCTGTTCCAAAGAGAAAACTCTTGAAAATGCAAACTGAAAAAGACTTTCTCGCTTTCTAGAATTTTGTTGTTCCCTTGAGAAAGGTGATTCTGAAATTGGAATACTAGCATAATGATATGGTTTTTAAAATGTCACAAGATGGTTTTAGCTGAACTTGTCCATCACAATATCAGTTTTAGGGTAAGTTAAATTGGATGTTTCCTATTTGATACTATTTAAGGGGTGATTTTTCTTAAGTATGTCTTCAATCAGTGCCATTATCTTCAGAAATCCGTGGTTTGGATTTTCTTTTCTTTTCCATTTGATTTGAATTTTCACTTCGCAGCTATGGCTCATGGGTCTCTGTCAGCTTTCCCATTGTGGGGACACAACACCCACAGCTTAAAGGAGGAGAAGTTTAAATTAAATTTGACTCCTGGTTTCAGAGGATCCAGCACAGAGTCTACAGGCTCCAAAGCAGAACATCATGGCAGAAGGGTATGGCCGAGCAAATCTGCTTAGTTTATGAGGCTGGGAAGCAGAGCAGCACAGGATAGGAGGGACAAGGGACCATATAGTATAAACCAAGGTCACGTCCTGTAACCCACCTAGATGTGTGTCCTACCAGTCCTCTGGGCAGTTTCCGAGACAATCAAATGGACAAAATCAAGTTTAATTGTCACATTCTGGCTCTCAACCCTGTCTCCAACAGCTACGGGCACTGAAAGACAAAAGCTGAAAAACAGAGCAGATTTCTAGCAGACAGGTTGAGAGAAAGACCCTTTCTTTTCTGAGATGAGCAGCATCTTGGAAACGCTAGGAAGAGAGGGTATGTGCTTACAATAATAAAAAAGGCATCATCTCTGAGGACCCTGTCTAGGAAAGGAGGAACTCAGCTCAGACAAATTCAGAGACTGATTTTAATGTGTATAGTCCTTTTTTGAAAGAGAATTAAACTACACTTATTAGTTTGACAATTAATGTTGATAGCTTTTATTAAGATTAACACACTCTATAGCTTCAAGATTAGCAATACTGAGTGCTTTCAGACATGAGGTTATTTTTTTCCTCCCAAAATCTCTGGGGCTTTGACAGAGTTGATTACACTGTTCTTAATAAAATTTTTTTTCCTCTTCTAATTTCTTTGACATTATCTTGACTCTGGCTATCTCTAGTTGCTGATTTTGCATTCTTTCCTTCACTCTCCATCTTTGTATTTTTAGCTGAATCTTTTTCCTACCATACCTCACATTCCTATCCTCACACTTCCACACCTCATGCACAATTTGTTTTTATTTCATTCTCACCATTCAGAATTGAAGCAGCTTTTACTGCTTCATGCAGACGACTGCAGATGTTCTATAGCTCTGCTCCCTAACTGCACCAAATTCTAGCTGCACATTTTCAGCTGCCTGCTAGACATCATTATTTGCATGCACCACAGTTTCTTTGAACGAAAAGTTTCTCAAACTCGATTTATCACCTTCCTCCACAAAACAACTCATTATTCTTAAATATCTAATTTCTGCCAAGTAGAATGCTTTTATCCCATTTGACTTAGTCTAAAAAATATGGAGTTTTGTTGAAGTTCTTCATCTCTGCCTAAGTAAATATCTCTTTTATCTATCCCCATTCTTTAATTCTGCCTATCACTACTTTAGTTCACATATTAATACTTCTTCACTTTAGTTTAAGTGCTTTTGTAAGGTCTGCTTGTGCATTTGATTTACTCACATCAGGGAACTGAGAATCTATAAAGCAAAAAATTATACCTTCCTTTTTTTTAAGCGTGGGGAACATGCCACAAACATAGCAAATATTAAATAGATATTTATTATTTTATTACTAATATCTACATATTATAGAAAAAATAAAAATGATAACCATAAAATAATGCCCAAACTTGGTCATTAAGCAAAACATCAAAATATAATAATTTTACTGATTTGATTTGGAAAAGTGTCTTGGTTAGTCAATATAAGTTTAAATATACAACAGAATTTCTTCAAATTATTTGCTCTACAGTGACACAAATCCTGACTTAGACGACTGACTTTAACAATTTAAATGTTTCTCTGGATTTTAAACTTGAAGTGTGTGGGGGTGGAAAATGATGATTCTGACTGGAGTTGATAGGATTAAGAGACAACCCAGCTGAGTAAGCTTTTGTGGCTGTGATTCACTTAAAATGCAAAGGGTAAACAATTTTGTAGCTTATGCTACAGACAGAGGCCAATTTTAAATACTAGAGGAGAGGAATTTAGGATACTAAATACAACCCTGCTTATATAGTCAGAAATAGCTTCACTCCTTAGAAACAAGAATTGAAAATGGCATTTGCTTTAAAGCATCCAGTGGAACTAGTACAATACCCATTGTCTTTATTGTTCATCTAAATAAAAATTAAATGATAAAGCTGGAACTGGCACAAATGGATGGGAAGACTCTTGGGTATTATAATCTCTAAGGCATGGACTCCTGTTTTTTTGGCCTTCTTTTGTGTCCAACAGTAGATTGTCATTAACCTCTATGCTCCAGTATGGATTATCTGGAGTCAGAGAGCTCCAGCACGTTCAGGTCCAGTGTTACCAGTTACAAAGTCAGTTCTGGGACAGCTGGGCAGAATACTCATAACGTCCTTCATTCCCTGTAATTCATGTGTGGGAATTAGGCCTAGTGTGTCATCTCTCTAATCATCATCCTTCTCATTATTTTCTTTCCTGTCTATCTTAGATTCCATGTGTTAGTCATTTTTTAAAATAAAAAATGTTCTACCTCCGGGCTAAATAGAGAGTGAAGGTGAAATCGCGATGAGTTAGAGAACAAAAATAGAATTGTTCTATTTCTAAAAAACTGTACATCTTCACCGATTTTAATGTTTTACTCAAGACAGGCAAAATTGCCTTGCTTTTCTGTCTTTCATCACGTTTCTCCGGCAAAACACCAACCCCGCATCAGCCTCAGTGTCTGCTCTCTCTGAGCAGCACCCGAGCAGGAGTGGAGAAAATTGTGAATGCAGCACAGTGCTGCTCTCCTCAGCTCCTTAGCTGCTTGCCTGGGCCCCGGACACCTGTCCAGTGAGCGCACAGCACTTTACTGCTCGATTCTCTAGGCCTACTTTGTGCAGAAAGCATTTCAGATCTTTTCTGCTCTCCTCAGATTCCTAGGCATAACTTTATCACGTTCTTCACATGATCTACAGAAACAGCTGGATGAATCTTCACCACTTTACTTCACCAAGTGTATGGGCTTCGTCATAGATAGATACATCCATATTCCTTTCCTCTCCCGGTCTCCAGCACGGTGAATGAACTGTGCTTCTTCTAAGCTAAAGTCCAGCTTCCTGCCCTTGCCTTCCAATCACATTTCTTCTACTCTTCTGAGGAAATGTATGAATATATCCCTTCCCCCAAGTCATTCAACCTTCCTCCTTTACTCTGTCCTTCACATTTACATTTAAAGGTGTCCTCATCTTGAAAGAGCGATGACAAAAATAAAAGATATTGACTCCACATCCTAAGTATAGTCTTTTTTCTATTCTTGTCCAGATAAAGGAGAAATTCCAGGTATTGATCAGAAAAAGTCAAATACTTTGAGAAAATTATTCTTCATTTTCTTGTATGCCTAAACATTTCTAACTTAATATAATCAATGACCTTCACCTTGTTAAAACCAACGATTATCCTTCAATTCTTACCGTCACTGACAGTCTCACACTCTTAACCATTCCCTCTTCCTCCTGATATTGTGCTTTATTACTATTTTCATCGTTTGATTTTTGGTACAAATGTAGTACTTTCACAGGTAAAATGTGGTCATAGGGTATGCAATAGTACTAAAGGAACATGAAAAGCCACTGTTCACTGTCCCACTTCTCATGCTAACTTTAATTATTTCTATTTCTAGATGTTCTTTCTAGTTGTTACCTCATAATATTCAACAGTATACGTGTGCTTCTGTTTCATTATTTCCTGATATATTCATTTTAAACATAGAAAATGACTTCAGGACATGAAAGATGAGAAATTTATCTCATTTACATTTCTTCCCTGTCCTTCTGCTCAAACTTTTGTTATTATATTTGAAACCGGATGTTGAATGGAAGCATCTCCTTTGACCCAAGGAAAGGCCTTCAAGTGAAGGGTGGTGTTTCAAATTGGATATGAATTTGAAGTTTTGATTTAAACTGAAGTATTTCTTTTCAACCTGGAAGTCCACTTGTATAAAACTTAGGCTTGTTAAAGGCATCATACTATAGTGATACACATGTGTCACCATAGCTAAATCCTGGAAGTGGTCTGCATACGCATCAATAGACAATTGGAGAAAGAAAATGTGGTGTCTATACATAATAGAATGCTACTCCACTGTAAAGAAGGACAAATTTGAGACGTTTATAGGAAAATGCATAGACCTGGAAAATATAATGTTGGGTGAAATAAATCAGACACACAAGCTTTGATACTGTATAGCACCTCTCATTTGAGTAAGGCACAGTTTAAAGAGCACAATAAACAATGGCTAGAAGGTGACAAGAGGATGGATGTCTTGCAAATGGGAAAGGGTCCAAAGGAATGCAGGTGAGCAGAGAAGGAGGGAGGAAGGGAAATAGGCAAAATAAAGATATGACATGTACATGAACCCAATAACCTCAGTGAATGTGAATATTATATGTCATTAACATGAGCTAAGATTAATAATATCAAGAATGAAAATGGAGAAAGGGAATTTAGAGAAGGAGGGAGGGAGGGAAGTGGAAGGGGATTAAAAAAAAACTGTTAACCTATCTTATTTTATGTGCACTCATCCATGCTCCAAAATGATTGTGAACTGCATGCAATGCAAACGTGTACTAGTAAAAATTAGTCTTGTGTTTGTAAAGAGCAGTGAATGTAAACTTTATATGCCATAAACAGGAGCTAAGATTAATAATATCAA